GAGTTATCGTGTACACGGACAGACGGACAGACAGACATGGCTTAATCAATTTCTTTTTTCATCCTGATCATTTATGTATACATTTGTCTATGTCTATCTCGATTCGTTTTGGCTGTTACAAACAACCGTTATGTGAACAAAATTAATATACCCTTGTGCACAAGTGCGCTCGGGTATAAAAAGTAAGCCCGTCTTGACTATCATATGTACATATGTTTATTTAAATAACTATACTTTTCTACATTTTAGAATTATTTATTTGGATCTTTCCAAAATAATTCAGTAACAAAAACACAAAAACCACCTTGCATTAATTGAATGATTTCCGTACCGGCTAACAAATTGGTAAGAGTAACCTTAGGGGCGTCTGTTTATCATAGTTCCATCAATGCACCCTTCGTTTTAAGGAAATCCACCAATAATGAAAAATTGTGTGGCAATATTTTGCGTAATTCCGGCCAACAAATAGTTTCATCCATCACGGCATTTGCCACTCGATGAATTACTCTACATACCGCTAATTTGTGGACCCCATGCATTTGACCATGCCATTATTAGGAGTGTTCGCTATGCAAAAAATTTGTACAAGTTGGTACCAATTGTTACCAAATCGTGTTCGTTTAGCCAAAAACCCAGTAAAACTTGCAAGGAGAGAGCACAATTTTGACATTTCATTTGGAGGGGAAGTTGCAAATTGGTGCTGGGAAAACGTTTGCCTGTAAGAATTCGCATTGTGGCACACGGTTGCATTTTTGTAAACATTAATTTGAATCAACGAGTTCGTTAAATTTAAAAATGAACAATCTTGCGATTTACTAATGAAAGAAGTAATAACTAATTGATTATTCAATTAATTTAATAAATTCCAAACATTTGAAAGGTACCCGGTTGAAAAAGTTGTATTCGTAATCGGAACGCACTCGACACCGCTGTCGATATAGGAAATCCGACAGTGAATTCCACAAAGAAATTGAAGCGTATGTTGAAGAAAGTCAGAATAAGAAGAAATATACGTACAGGTCCTGTTTTGATTTCCACATGATATAATTTAAAAAATTTATTATGCTCGAAATGCAACCGTGGACGCCAGCTGGCAGTGAATCTGGCAAATGTTTGCTAATTCGTGTTCGCGCAATACTTAGTAAATTTCTCTCTTTGGGAGAGTAAGGTACTTTATTCTCTGAATTTTGTTACTGGCTAATTCTTACTGGCAGTTGCATAGCGAACACTCCTATGAGATAGCCGAAATTTTCTACTGTAAAC